TAGCAATTCAATCCCAAGACCTAAAGTTATTTTAAGCACCTTTATCAGTAGGTCTTGAGAATTTTTACTGCTTAGGGTTTGAAAGCTGACTTAGAACAGGCTTAAACCCTAGGAACAAGAAACTTAATCATGGTTTTTATCTGGGCAACTAAAACTTCTGAATACTATTTTAAAGGTTATTCATCATTCAAATTTAAAAGAACATTTGCAAAAATGGATATATACTACATTATATCAATACTATTTTAGGAGTAGATAAGTACACTTCAAGGCAACACATCTAAATATTGAAGCAAACTTACATCCATCTCTAGATTTTTCTATCTGCTCTCGAAGAAATCTATCCTTGTGAAGATTTGCATCACCAAACCAGAAGTCCACTTGTTTAGCAATATCAGCAAGCACCTGTTTAACTCTAGACCGTTTCTTTTTTTCTACTTCGTTTTTCTTTTCAGTGCTTTCCTCTTCCATTGCTTTTTCTTGGTTTCCACTTTCAGTTTCCATTCCTGTAAATTAGGAAAATATTTAAATCACCGCAAGTACTACTTAATACATAAAAATATTTGGATTAGCCTTTAATTGTCTGAGGGGATAAAGAGGCCAACACTTAGATGCCAGAAGACAAATTTTTCAGGGGAACGCTTCCCAGGCATTTTCAACAAGTAATTGAGAAAAATTTAATTGGGTTTGTTTTTTGTTTCCTTTCTAAGTTCTTACCCGCTCACTTTTCATTGGCCTTGTTTTTACTTTTAAAATAGTTTAGGGCTGTCTGGTTAGTCCTTATAACACCAAGGTGTACCAACCAGCAGGAAAAAAAAAAGAAAATAATTTACTTCCTATGTACTCGATCATAGCTTTAGTTTTTTGTGCCTTTTAAACTGCAGAATCAGATTATCTTAGTATGAAATTTACATCCTTATCTATCTCACCAAGCTACAGTTTTAAGATAGTAAATTAAAGTGTAAGATTAAGGGACTCAGTCACTCTCCAACCAACAAGCCTAATAAGGACATTTTATTCACATTTCTAAGTACTACAACCACCAATAGATGAAATAAAAATAAACTGATTTTTGATTTTGATTTTTAAAATGTTCATTTCTGATTTCTAGAAGCAGAATTCAACTGCTAAGCTACAGGATCAGACTTCTTTTTCCTATTCTACTGTTTATTTCTTGGGTAGCAATTCCTAACCCCCTCCTTCTTTCAAGTTACTTTGCATGCCTCTTCCCCTGTGCTCCCTCAGCTTCAGCCATCGGCCTTACTGTTTCTAAAACTCACCCAGCGAACTCTCAGCTGAGGGTCTTTTGAGCTTGTTTTCTCTGAAACACTGATCCCCTGAGAAAATACAGATTTCTCCCTCAACTTCCTCAAGTCTTTGAATGCCACCTGAGTAAGGTAGCCTCCCACAACCATATTTAGAAATGCAAATTTCTGGACAGATATTCCCCTGCCTTATTTTTCTCCATAGCACTTATCACCTTCTAACATTACTATACAATTTATCTATTCTTCATCCTTCCTAGAATGTAAGACTGATGAAATTATAGATTTTTATCTGTTTTGTTTACTGATTGCCCAGTCCCAAACACAGTAGTCACTCAAAAATTTAAGTGAATTGTGTCTAAAATTTTTGAATGGAAAAAATAATAAATTTGTCAATGAATTGAATCACTAGAGGTACATACACAAAAATGAATGTAGGACCAAAGGATTAACATCAGGCCTAGGATGATGCAGACCTGCCTGAGAATAACCTCAAGTCTCCCATAATAATATGGTTTTCTCAGAAAGAGCAGAATTAAGACAAATGGGGAGAGTTGTACCTGTTTCCCCTGCTGCACCTGGATTGGAGTAGCTATTAGTTGGCATGTAGGCCTTGGGCCTCATGTGACCAGAATAACATAAAAGATTGGTAGGCAAGCTAAAGCTTTTATGTTTTAATGCGGACCGAAAGATACCTTGGCTCTCATCCGGGGAAGCCACACACACCTACTGTAGGTAAGGCGGCCAAAAAAAAAAAAAAAAAGCAGGAATTTTGGTAATTGCTGAATTTGGGTAAGTGCTGGTGCAGGGCCTCCTGATGAGATAAAGATGCTGCACCAACTGTATCTTCTACCTTGTATCATTCTTTAAAGCTAAGTAAACACAGTATTAAAGTTTGTTTCTCTTGAGTCTGAATGCTGACTAGAATCTGTAAATTAAATTAATATATTTAAAAGTAACTGTAAAAGTGCTAAGCGTTTCAAATCTTTTTGTAGGGTGGTAGGATATAAATAAAATACAAATTTAAGTTATCGTTATCACTACAGCAGGCTTCACTGCTAACTTTCCCTCCTGAAAAAACTACAAATTATAAAGGGCAGACTAGCCACTCTCCAATTCCTTTCCTTGTCAAAGCCCACCATCTAAGAATAATGGACAGAACTACAAAAGCACAGAAAGTCATGGTTCTTCCAGAAACCAGACTTGTCCCATCATTTCATATCTCAGCCCAAGACCCTCCTTCATTCTTTCCATTAAGGATAATTTTTGTGGCTTGAAGTATTTAAATTCAGAATAATCAAATATACCTTCGATTTAGAGGAAGAAATGGATTAAACAGAAAGTAACATAATATATGATACAATTTAGCTTCACTACACAATGACTGCAGAAAATTGGGAAGTTACACAGCAATACTTTTGCTACAGTCTTGATCCTCAAAGTCCATACTTCTTCAGTGTTATTCCATACATCCAAAATCAAACTTATCTTTCCTACCCGGGCCTGTTCTACCATCCTCATCTTATTTAAGGATGCCATATTCCACCAAGTTAGCCAATCAAGCATTTACTAGCTGTATGGATTTTTAAGCAAGTTACCTCATCTCTCTATGGTCTATAAAATGTGCATAAAAATCATACCTAAATAATAGGTTGTTCGAGGGCTAATCAAAATAATTTAAATAAAGTACTTCAAATTGCTGCTGTATAGAAACACTCAATAATATGTAACCATTACTATTTTTTCACCCATCTGTCAGTAAGTCCTATCAATTTGACCTTTGAAATGGCCCTCATCTCCACCCAGTGTATTCCACGAGTACTGTCACTAGAAGGCAACAATTTACAAACTGCTCTAGAAGCCATCCATCCCTCTCTTGTCTAAAACACAGATCTGGTTTTGTGATGCTGAGATTAAAATGTGCAACATTACAACTTCCTTGGCACATTCCTATAACATAATATGTATTTAAAAAAAATTATTAAATAAACCAGTAACATGCTTCTAAGCATGATCTTTGAACAAAGAATAAAAGTTACTGTACAACAATGCGAGTCAATTTACATACCTTGTTTAATCCTCACAATCCCATTGGATAGTTTCTTCTACCTTCCTTTTACAGAGGCTCAATGGTTAAGTGACTTGGCCAAAGCCAGGTAGGTCAGTGAGCCTAGGTATGTTTGATTCCCACATCGCCTACCTTCTGTAAAACCTCCTGCAATTTGTCACCATGCACTCTACATTCTGACCCAGGAATTCTTAACCTGAAGTACCATGGAACTTTGGATGGGTTTCAGGGATTCTGGTGAACTCCATGAAATGGTTAAAAGACAAGTTTTAAAGAAAGGTAAAATCATGACTCTTGTACAAATATAAAATGAATACATGGTAAAGATTTTAGTTAGGTAATTAATGAGAGAACAAATGTTAAAACCAGTTCAAAGGAGAATTCAAAAAAGCAGACACATACAGACAATTGGGAACTTTGAAATGAATGTTGATTGATACTGGTTAGGGCAATACTTAATTGCATCTCCACTGGATAAACATAAGTTCCATTTTTATCGTTTTCTACAAGTTACACAGTTGTAAAATAGCTCAATGACAAGGAAAAGGCACAGATAACCTGGAAAAGTGAGCTAGACTAGACACCATTTTTTTGTGTGTGGATTTTTTGCCATTTCAGAGTTTTTCAAAATGTTTTGACAGGTACATGCACATTTTCCTGGGAAGCTCATCCATAACTTTAACACGTTTTCAAAGGAACTGGTATGCCAAAAAAAGGTTAAAAACCATTGTTCTAGTTACAGAGGACTATTCAATGATACCTGAACACTTAATGACCTGTGTCTTTGCCTTCATGAGTTTTCTCGCCTAAGCTGCCTTATAAACCCCTATTCAATTTCCAAGGCCCAGGTAAATGGTATCTTACTCTTTATGGCCTTCCACCACTAATTAATTAACTGCCTTCTCATCTGTTTCCCCTAAGTACCTCAATTAACGCACTTAGTACACCATATTTAGCACTTATTATTTGTCAGCTTCCTTCCATGACTGTATTTTCAAGTCTTTGAGGAAAAAAGCACTAGAATCCTGCAAAATAAAATGACTTAATTTTGGAATACAAGTCCTCACATTCCTTTGGCAGCCCAAGCTCAACCTCGATATGCGAAATAAGACACTTTCCCTAGGAACTACAGCGCCTCTCGGCACCCGTACTTCCGCACGGCCTCCGCCAGATACGGGGCGTGCCGCAAACCTCCCAACGCCGTGCACTACACGCCCCCACTCTTTCAAGACTGGAACTACAGGCCCGCCGGAAGACTTTTGCGCGTGCGCACAGAGAACAAGGACGAGCGAACTGATGGGTTCGTGGGAGGGGGCGGGATGAGAGGCACGACGGATGACAGAATGGACGCATGAAAAAGGACTTGAGAGGAATTTACACTTCACCCAACGAGCGACCCATTAGGCCATCTGTAACTTACTCTGTTCAATTCCCAAAATACGGGGTCAGAGACCGCGTCCTTCAGCTCTTTTCGTCTCTCGATCCTTAACGTCGTAGTTATTTTCGCGTCATAAGACGAGCGACACCACTCTCTCCTCCCCCTCAAGAAAGACAGGCCCGGAGGCGGTGCCTCCGTCGCTCACGTCACCCGCAAGGGTTGGCTCTGGGAAGGCGGGGCATCGGAGAAGGCGGCCCGCTGAGGAGGCTCGAAGGTAATGAAAAATTTGATTGGCGGTTTGAAAACGGCGGTCTGGCTGAGGCGGTGGTGGGCGAGCTAAGTATCTGGTCCTCGTCTGCTGCGGTCCCGGGCTAGTGACGTCACTCGTGCGCGGGAGAAATTCGAAAGTGGAGTTTATGGAATGAGACAGGTGATGTGTTTCTCGGGGTTTCCGGCGAATGAAGGATGGATAGGCAGGGGGACTTGAGCGATTTGGGCGAAGGGACGAAAGAATCTGCTCCGCAGGAAGCGGACCGGTGTTGGCTGGAACCGGGGCTGGGGTGGTGTCAGTCACAGCTTGCTCCCACCGCCTGTAATAATTGGTGCCTCGTCCTCAGCGCTTTTCCCAGCGCCTGCTTTGCCCGCGTACGTGTTAGGACCAGAGAGGACTTTGCTGTTTGTTTTTAGGACTGACAAGGAATCAAGGCTCCATTGTCATTTGGTGACACAGGATCATGGTTATTAGGATCTTGGCAAATGAAATGTGGGTTTCTTTTCGTTATTTGGACTTGGTGGTTTCTTAACAGGATGTTGTGTTCGTGATTCTAAAACTTTTAAATCTGAACCATTTAGGGGTTCACGTTTAGGGTTGGAAAAGCTTGCTTGTTCAAAAACAAAAGGACCAAAAGCATGTCGTAATTAACAAGAAGAATGGCTCATATTTTACTGAGAATACCGAGTTATATACTCATATATATATATATATATATATGAGATATATACGTGCTATGATAAGTATGTATGTACATATTTAACCACAGAACATCTGGGGTCTCAACACTTTAAAAACTTCTTTGCAGATTAATCTTTCTGTTAATTAAAGGCGGGTCAACATTTGAATTGTGTGACATGTGGGCAGATTTACACTTTGAGGAAATTTTTTATTCTTGCGTGTCACGTATATATGATGCTATTGGCTAAAGCCATTTTTCCTGCCTAATGGTAAGATAAAAAAGGACTGTTGATTCTCATTGAATGTAAGTATTAGTGCTCTTAAAAGTATTTTTAAATCCAGTTAGCTTTTTTTTTCCCTGAGGCTTAATCCTATAATCTAATTTACCACTTTTGCGAGTTTGAACCTAATCAGTTCCTTTTAAATTGGAAATCACAGAAGTAATATTTCTAATTTAGGAAAATAATGGGGAGTTTACTTTGCGATTCCTAAATAGCGTATAAGTAATTCTAAATTAGTAAATACTGGATTTATAATCTGTAAATAGTGATAATACCGACTTTTCAGGATTATGAGACTGGTAAATATTATATGTAAAGTATCTAGTCCAATTCCTGCCTGACACGTAGTAGGTAATAAACAGTTATAGAACGTAGTATTTATATGAGCACCAGAGTTTAAACTACTCGGTTTTGAATTCTGAATCTGCCATTTATTTACTTTATGACCTTGGGCAAGTTACTTACCCCACTTTCCTCGTTTGTGAAATGGATATAAAAATAGTATCTACACTGCAAGGTGGTGAGCATTTAAAGCATTCTAACAGTGTCTAGCATATAGTTGCAGTGAATAAGTGATAATTATTATTAAAGAGGTATACTTTTTTTTTTTTCTTTTTTCGTGACCGGTAACGGGATCGCAACCGGTAACGGGATCGCAACCCTCAGTGTCGCGCCCGTACCGCGACCGGCAACGGGATCGCAACCCTCGGTGTCGTGTGTCGTGCCCGCACCACGCTCAGCCAGTGAGCGGACTGGTCTCTATATGGGATCTGAACCCTGGGCGGGAGCGCCGCCGCGCTCCCAAGCACCGCACTACCGAGTGCGCCACCGGGCCGGCCCTAAAGAGGTATACTTTTAACAACTGCCACATGCCAAGCACTGTGTCTATGACCGTTTATTCTCATCTACATACACAGACTATCCAGCCCATTCAGTAACTGTGAGCAAGTTGATCCAAAAGCACCGGGGATGATATGTTTCTCTGGACCTCTATCATCTTGGCATTCTTAGGTATCTAGCAATTCCTGTGGGCTGGACAGGAGGGATGTAGGATGTGGAAGTTATATTTCTGAAAGGCAGTGCCTCTTTAGGTCTGGGTCTTGTCCTGTGACCTATGTACTGGGCCTGCCTCTCCTTTATCTCAGCCTTTTACAACTCAGCAGCCAGAGTGATCTTTGTAAAACCAAAGTCGGATTGTCATTTTATTCTTAAAATCCTGCCATGGATTCCTACTGTCTTCATGGAAAGTCCAAACTCCGTAGAGGAAAGTGGGGTTAAGTAACTTGCCCAAGGTCATAAAGTAAATAAATGGCATATTCAGAATTCAAAACCAAGTAGTTTAAACTCTGGTGCTCATATAAATACTACATTCTATAACTATTTATTGATTACCTACGATGTGTCAGGCAGGAATTGGACTAGATACTTTACATATAATATTTACCAGTCTCATAATCCTGAAAAGTCGGTATTATCACTATTTACAGATTATAAATCCAGTATTTACTAATTTAGAATTACTTATACGCTATTTAGGAATCATGTATTTAGAACATAGAAGGTTCTCTGAATTCAATTACTAATTATTTCAGTCTCTTCTCTCACCACTCACTCTCTTGCACTTCACCCCTTAATTGTGCTTTTTAAGGTTCCCTATCAGGCCTTTCTACATATCGATTCCTGTTTGGAAAACCTTCACTAGCATCTTCTCTTGATTAATGGTTATTTCAGCTTACAGCTTAGACATTACCTCCTTGTAGAAGCGTAGAACAAGTTGGGTGTTATCCTATTTTATTGTAATTACCACTTATCATCCTGCTTATACTGAACATTCCTTGAGATCAGGGATAATATTTTGTTCATTTTACTATCTCAGCCTAGCACAATGTCTGGAACATAGTAAGTACTAAATAAATACATGCAATTTATAAATAACATGCAGGTGACATTTTATATGTATAAAGGAAGAACTGAACCCAGAATATCAAGTTATAGCTCTATTGAATCCCTTTAGGTCTTTTCAGGCCATGTCCTCAAACTTGAGCATGCGTCACTATCATTTGAAGAGTTTGTTAAAACACACACTACTGGACCCCAATTCCAGACTTTCTGATTTAATAGGTCAATGGTGGTGACTGAGAATTTGCATTTCTATCTAGTTCTTAGGTGATGCTGTTGGCCCACAAGTTCATACCTTTGGAACCACTTTAGGAAAAAATAAAAAAGTGTTTCTTGGCATTTGTTTACTTCTTCATTTCACTGATTTTGGATTAACAGATTTGCTCACAATAACCATTTTATCCAATTTAGGGTAACTACAGTACATATTGTAACAGTATTAAAAAAGATTTTTCCTTGCAGAGGTATTATATAATATATATTTAGTTTTAGAAACTGTGGTATACTGACTTTAAGATGTACAATAAAAGGAAAAATTTAAAACACAAGGGGGCCATCTTGTGGTGACCATAGAATTCAGCGAACTTCTAAAAATTGAATTCTGGATATAAAGAACCTAACATTTACATGGGAAAAGTCTAATTTTCTGATGCATATTATGGCACCTAGAAATATTTTTGTAGACAACTAATTAGTTTTTATATTTTGCTTAGTTTTCTCTTTACTTGGCAAATTCTTTTTCTACAGCATGGTATAACTTTTACTATGTCCTCAGTGACATAATTTGATTATACCTCCGTTTCCCTTGGAAGTTAGATATTGTTGTAACTCTTTGATTCCTGTCTCTGGTCAAGAGTTTATTGGGAAAAATTACATTTATTCTTTTCATCAGTGTTGAATATTCTGTGTCATTTTTTATTTTAGGTGGTATAAAATAGTTGAATAACTACTGATTATTTTCTGGGCCTTTCTGGTTTATAACTTCAGAAGAAACAATGGAAAGCCAAGAATTTATTGTAAGTCTTACCAATTTTCACAATTTCCTTCTCCACCCTCCCTCCATCCCTCCCATATTTCCTTCCTTTCTTCCTGACATTTCATAAACATCTTGCTAGGGTTGCCAGATTTAGCAAAAACAGAACAAAAGCCAAAAAACAGGACATCCAGTTAAATTTGAATTTCAGATAAACAATGAATACTTTTTTAGTATAAGTATGTCATAAAGATGGCACTATATTTTGTCTGGCAACCCTGTCGCTTACCTGCTATTCATATTTGTTATACATAGTTCTTTGTAACAAATTCTTTGGAAGCTTGGGACTAGAAAAGTATTTTTATCTCTTGAAAACCTGACATGCCTTTCTGTCTAGATCAGTGGTTTGGTTTCAGACTGTTTGGTCTCAGGACCTTTTTACACTCAAAAAATTATTGAGGACCCCAAAGAGCTTTTATATATTGGGCTTATATCTATTGATATTTTTCATAGTAGAAATTAAAACAGAAATTTAATAATATTTATTTATGAATTATTTAAAAATATTAATAAATTTAATATATGTTAACGTATATAACATTTTTAATGAAAAATAGCTAAGTTTTCCAAAACAATAACAACAGCAGAAAAGAATATATTGAGAAGAGTAGCATCGGTATACATTTTTTTGCAAATCTTTTTAACATTTGACTTAATAGAAGATAACTGGATTTTCATATCTGCTTCTGCATTCAATTTACAATTGAATCTTGCAGTATTGTATGTACGTAACCCTGGGAAACTCTGTACCCCTGAAGGAATGAGAATGGAAAGACAACATCATGAAAATAGTTATGATCTCACAGACACGTTTAAAGATCTTGGAGACTTCCAGGAGTCTCTGAGCCACACTTTGAGAACTGCATGGATTATGAGTAAATCAACAATTTTTTCCCTTCCTACTGGTGACTAGGAAGCTCAAAATTATTTCTGGTACTCAGTTAACTTTTCAGTTTTTTCTTTAGATTTTACCTCTCCTATCTCCCTTCCCCTTTTGCTACCTAATTTTCTTTCTTTTTTTAAAGTTAATGTTTTGTTGTTATTAGGATATCTGTGCTTTTATTTTTATAAAAAGTGTCTTAAATGTTTTCTGTATGTAGGAAGGGTGTAAAATACATAACATCGAATATATATAAATAGAAACCATTTCTTTGCTTTTGTACTTTTTGGAAATAAGGTCCTATACACTCATCAAAAGATGAAGAAATCAAAAGTATGGCAAGATGGAATTCTAAAGATCACTCACTTAGGAAACAAAGTAAGTGCAAAGCAGTTGACTACACAGTCTAAGAGCTAGGTTCTCACTTTTTGATTGAATATTAAGAAAACTCTGTAGAAGATAAAATGTTAGGTATGTCCATACACTGATGTTCTGTGAAAACAGAAGTTTTCAAATGATTCCCATATCACAGTGATTAATTTGTATATTATAAAAGTTCAGTAAATGTTACATGTTTTGATTAAAAAATTTATATTATCAAGTGCATTCTACGAGCCAGGCATGATGTTTTAAGTGTATCAATATTCTTAGACTATATAACTCTCCTACTGGTTAGTACTATATTTATCTTTATTTCACTGATGATGAAACTGAGGCACACAGAGGTGAAATAGCTTGCCCAAGGATCTCACAGCTTGAAAGTGGAGTTATAATACATGGAACTACGCTTTTCGGCTCCAACTATTTTACTGTCTCTCTTAATATTACTAATTTAAAAAAAGAACTTTATTACAGATGAGTTGGCAATATATAGGATACATTAATGACATCTGTGGCATCCTGAATGAAGTTCATACTCCTCAGTTCATACAACTCAGTCTAGCAGTTGAAGATGTCCATATTCTGCCCTTATCCCACCTATCTGTCACTGTGAATTTTCACTAAGGGAAGCTTTTCAGAAGGAAAAAGGCTATTTTTTATTATTTTAAAAAATTTAATATTTAATTTATTAAAACAGCAAATTAAAGAAAAAGTTTGGCCTTAAGCTTTTATGTAATCCTTTTAAATTTATAAACCTAGTTAAGTTTAACAGTTATTTTCAATGGAATCTTAGCTTAATGTTCACTCAAGTAGAAAAAGCTAAATGCTTTAAAATAATCAGTCTTTTAACAAACAATTTACCTTAAGCATTTAAATCAAATTTATAAATTTTCTATATTTGATTTTCTTTCTTTAGCATTTTAGTTGCCCCTAACCAACAAAAACTTTGCAAGTGCTTAAGCCCTTCCAGTAATTCTAATAAATTAAATTTATGAATACAGTTAATTTTAATGTCCTTTAAGTATTCTAATACTGTTTATAAACCTAGTAAAATTTACTTACCCCTTTCTTTTCAATTTAAAAGTCAGATATCCAAATGAATTTCTCAATTACACATTTTAAATTGGAATCATAAAGCTAATCTGTTAGATATATTTAAAATATAAATTGTCTAAAATATTACAAGTACCTTATAAAATCAAAAATAACTTCTTAAAATTAAAAAGAACACAAATACTTTAAATATGAGATTACCTAATATCAGATTGTCTAATTACTAAAGCCTATTTATGATCCTAATTCAAAAATATTGATATTTTTGGTTTGAATTCCAGTCAGATGTGTTATCTTGGACAAGTTATTTAGCCTCTCAGTACCTCTATTTTCTTCTTTTGAAAATGGTGAAAATGATACTTTATAAAGTTGTCTTAAGGATTAAGTGAAAAAATGTAAAACTGTTAACAAACCACTTGCCACATCATAAGCACACAATTGAATGGTAACTTATAATTCTTTTTTTTTTTTTTTTAATCATTACACAATGTGAACATTTTCTGTGGCTCTTTACCAATTTTTCCCTAACCCTCTCTCCCCCTCCCTCTTCTCCATCTCTGGTGGCCTCAGTTCAATTGTCTCCTTTTGAAAGTTCAACAAATTATTGTGATTGTTGTGTCTTTCTTTCTTGTTTTATTTTTTATTTTTTCAACTCCCACTTATGAGTGAAGACATGCATACGGTATTTCTCTTTCTGTGCCTGGCTTATTTTACTTAACATAATTTTCTCTAAGTTTATCCATTTTGCTGTGAATGACAGAATTTCATTCCTTTTTATGGCAGATTAGTATTCCATTATGTATATATACCATATTTTCCTTATCCAGTCATCCGTCCGTCGATGGACATTTAGGTTGGTTCCAACTCTTAGCTGTTGTGAATAGAGCTGCAGTAAACATGGAAGTGCATATATCCTTTTGACATGATTTCCATTCCTTTTGGTAAATACCCAGCAGCAAGATTCCTGGATTGTATGGCAGTTCTATCTGTAGTTGTTTGAGGATCCTCCATACTGTTTTCCATAACAGCAGCACTAATTTACAATCCTACCAACAGTGCAGGAGAGTTCCCCTTTCTCTGCATCCTCACCAGCATTTGTTATTCTCTGTCTTTTTGATAATGGCTAGACTAACTGAAGTGCAATGTGGTGAACTCCGGGAGTTTTTGTTTGTCTGGAAAATACACTATTTCTCTCTCATTTCTGAATGATATCTTCGCTGCTTATAGTGTTCTTGGCTGGCAGTTTTTTTCTTTCTGTATTTTGAATATATCATCCCATTTTCTTTTGGCCTGTAGAGTTTCTGTTGAGAAATCTGCTGTTATTCTGATAGGGGTTCCCTTATAAGTGACTTGACACTTTTCTCTTGCTGCTTTTAGAATTCTTTGTCTTTGAGCTTTACCAGTTTGAATAGAATGTGATTTGGAGAGGAACTTTTTGGATTGAATCTGTTTGGGGATCTTTGAGCCTCCAGTATCCAAAGGTCCATGTTTCTCCCTATTCCTGGGAAGTTTTTTGTTACTATTTTGTTAAATAGGTTTTCAATGCCTTTCTGTTCTCCTCCTCTTCTGGAACACCTGTGATACATATGTTTGTGTGCTTAACGTTGTCTGCTAGCTTTCTTAGATTTTCTTCATTTTTTTAAAATTCTTTTTTCCTTTTTTTTTGTTTCCCTGGGTTATTTTGAAAAGACTATCTTCGAGGTCAGAAATTCTTTCTTCTGCTTGCTCTAGCCTGCTGTTTAAGCTCTTGGTTATGTTTTTTATTTCATTGACTGAATCTTGCAGTTCCATGAATTCTGCTACATTCTTTTTAAAGGCAGTAATCTCTTTGTAAATTTTTTCCTTCATATCCTGGATTTTTTTTTCTCATTTCATTATATTGTCTGAGTCTTCTTATATATTATTGAGTTTCCTTAAGATTGTTGCTCAGAATTCCTTTTCAGTTATTTCAAGGGTTTCTTGCTCTATAGGGTCTGATATTTGAGAATTATGGTATTCTTTTGGTGGTGTCATATTTTCTTGGTTTTTCTTATTTCTAATATCTCTATATTGATATCTAGTCATCTGGTAGAGCAGTTGCTTCTTCTTTTACTCTGGAGTGGGCTTTGAGAAGAGAGACTTCTTCTTTTTCCATTATCTGCTGGTGACTTTCCTTGTGTCAATGTGAGTGGGTGGTGGAAAGCCTGCATGTTGGCTGTGGCTGCTACTGTGACAGCAAGCCACCCTTGCAGGCTCCTGCCTAGGACCCTGTGTGTGCTCTAAGTTGGGGAAAAGAGAGCTGAAGATATTGTCATAGTCATAACAACATGGATGTATAAAACAGTATGAAACATATAGGGAACTATAAGCAATTAAGTTTGGCTGGAATGAAGGGCCCATGTTGTGAAATGACAGAATATAAAACTAAAGAGGTAGGCAAGAACCATATCATGGAGGACTTTTTGTATGCTCATTCTTAGGATCCAGTGAAGAATTGAGCAGAAGAATGACATAATCATATGTGTATTTTTAAAAGATTGTTTGGCAACAATGTAAAAGTTATGTAGGATGAAAGTCAGATTGGATTTAGGAAGACTGTTGTAGTGAAGAGGCTATAGAATAATCTAGACAAAAATGTCTGATCAAGCAGGCATTAGCAATGTCAATAGAGAAAAAGGATGATTAGAGAGAAATTATGAAAATATAGAATCTTCAGGTCTTGGAGATAGAAGATGATAGGAGAATCCAGAGTTACTTTTAGGTTTCTGTATTTTGATTATGGTACTGAGATAGGATATTTCAAAAATAAAAGTAAGTTTAGGGGGAACAATGAAGATTTTAAGTTCTGTTTTGAATACACTGAATTTGTTAAGTATCCTACATATGCTCACATAACTGGCTATAGGGACCTGGAATTCAGGGAAGAGTTCTGGGCTACCAGTATAGACTGGAAGTTCCTGGTATTTAGATGGTATTTGAAGCTATTGGAGTGGACTCATTTGTTTAACAATTATTTTTTGAGCACCTATTAGGAGTTACACACTGTTCTAGGAGATGCAGCAGGGAACTGTCCCGACCCGCGGGATATTCAACGCAGACCCTGGAGGGGGGAGTGGGAATGGGATGGAACAAGAGACGCGAGAAATTGAGACAAGACAGTATTCTGATCAAGTCTCATTTATTAGCCAGAAGGTCACAGTTTATATAGACAGCAGGAGGTAATCAGCAGATAATTAAGTATGCAGATGGTTTACTGAGAAAACCGCAGGGCGGGTTGTTCCGGTAAATGGAAAATTCCCGTTATCTATGGCAAGTTGCAAAGTTACCTACACCCATAGTGCACAGGATGGGGAGGGACGGAAGATAACAGCAAACAAGGCTCTGAGGCCTCGAGGCAATAGCTGGGCGGGCTCTTTTGGCTCTGGACAGGCAGGCAGCCGGGCTCTAATGGCTCCGGACAGGGAATGAAGCAGGTAAATCTCTGACTTCATGGAAATAACATGGAGACAGGCTAGTAAGTTAAGTGAATAGTTATGTTTAGTGAGTGTGGCAAGTAGCAGGGAAATCAGTGTACTTGGAATAGATTGAACAAGGGTGGGAATGGAGATATAGGGGATTATATAAGCCTTATTGCCTATTGGAAGGACTTTTATTCTTAGGGAGCTGTGGATACATTGGAATGATTTGAGCAGAAGCATAACATCTGATTTGTACGGATGATACTGCTCAGGGAGGGAGTATAGAATGAAAAGAATAGTGTATTGTCACCCCAGAAAGAAATCCCATACCCATTAGCTGTCACTACTCACTATCCAAACCCCAGCAAACACGTATCTACTTATTGTCTATAGATTTGCCTATTCTGGAAATTTCACATGAATGGAATTATATATTATGTCATCCTTTGTGGTTGATTTTTTATTTTTTTTTTAATTTAGCATAATGTTTTCAAGGTTCATCCATGTTGGAGATTGTATCAATAATGTATTCCTTTTTATTGCTGAATAATATTTCATTGTATGGATATATCATGTCTCATTTATCCAATTATTAGTTGATGTCCATTTGGGTTTCTGCTTTTTGGTTATTTTGAATAGTACTGCTATGAATATTCATGTGTGAGTTTTTGTGTAGATAGATGAGGGCACTTCAAAAAATATGCAAGAAAATGGAATTAAAAGATAGTAAGCATCTTTCCATGAACATTTTGAAGACCCTTCATATATTTTTATTTCTCTTGGTGTATATACCTAGGAGTGGAATATGGTAACTTTTATTTTAATCTTTTAAGGAACTGCCAAACTGTTTTCTACATTGATGGAAATACCAATATTACTGGGGCTAGTGGGGAAATTGCTAGAGTTACAAGGGGAAAGCCAGAAAATGATAATCACCTTAGCTTCCTTTATCTCCTTTATCTGTCACATTCACAAGTTTTATTCATTAGAGCTCATAAATAATTGTTTTATTCCCAATGCCAGTACCGTATTTTAAGCACTAATCATCTCCCTGATTCGCCACACCATACCATTGCAATAATCTCTTAACTGATCTCTTCTCCTGTTTGCCTCCTCTAATGAATTCCAATTCTGTTTTCTTCTCAATTCCATTCCAAGATCCTCCTGTTAGGAATTCAGATCTTGAATTTTTTATGTGTATGCCTTCATTCTTGCACAGACTGAGTGATGCATATAAACATTTGAAATAGATGCACTTTCAAATCCAAGTTAAACAAAGCAGACAATCCTTTCATTACATGATTTACTTGTATAACAGTTTTTGATTTGCTATTGAAGATGTTTAAGAAAAGCATAATTATGTTCTGTTCTTTTTTAACATTTGTTTTAATACAGGCAATTTTATATGATGATAAAGGAACATGTTTGGAGAGTCTGTTTCTTAAGTGCCTTGAGGTATTTTAATATATTTATTCCTATTTTTAAGTTATTGTTTAAAAATCCCTTTAGATTTTTTCTTTATAAATGTTGTTAAATAATATAGTCATGGTACCAATACTTATAATTGTACCTGCTATTTGTTGAGCATTTATTATAACTAGACTTTGTGTTAAGAGCTTTTAGATATTGTTTCATTTAATCTTAACAGCAACACTGTAATTTTTACATATTAGGAGTGTGGTGCAGAAACATTAAGTAACTTGCCCACGTTCACAGGGTTACAGTGGTAGGGCTGGAATTAAACCCAAGAATTACTCTAAAAACTGATTCTATTACAGTAGTCTCCCCTTATTCTTGGGGGATATGTTCCAAGATCCCCAGTGGATACCTGAAACTTCAGTTGGTACTGAACCCTATATATACTGTTTTTTCTATACATACATACCTATGATAGAGTTTATTTTGTATTTATTTTATTTTTGGAGACTGGCTAGTATGGGAATTGGAACCCTTGATCTTAGTGTTGCAAGGTGGCACTCTAACTAACTGAGATACCTGGCCAGCCTGATAAAATGTATAAATTAGGCACAGTACTCTTGTTCGTTGTGGCTATTATTAAGTAAAATAAGGGTTACTTGAGCATAAGCACTGCAATACTGCCACAGTAGATCTGATAACTGAGATGGGTACTAAGTGACTAATTGGATAGGTAGCATGTACAGCATGAAGATGCTGAACAGAGGGATGATTCATGTCCTAGGTGGGATGGGGTGGGACAGTGAGAGATCTCACCACATAACTCAGAATGGTGTGCAATTTAAAACTTAAGAATTATTTATTTCTGGAATTTTCCATTTAATATTTTCGGGCATGGTTGACTGTTGGTAACTGAAACTGCGGAAAGTGTAACCGTGAATAATGGGGAACTCCTGTACAAGAGTTTTTGATAGAGATCTACAGTGGGAAATTTTTATGAAGTTATTCCCATTTAAGTATTTACTCAAATACTTATTCTGTGTTTTTCTCCTATTGGAAAAAGGAAGGGAAGGGAACTAAAGGCTTATTTTAATGTAAAGAATAAGGTTATTAGAATTGGTCATTCTGGGTTCATTTCCTACTTTGAAATACTTCCTAGCTAACCTAACCTCTCTTTGGCTAACTTCTCACCTGTGAGATGTAGATCACAGACAGACTTTATAGAGTTGATCTGAAGATTGGAAATAATTTATGTAAAGTGCCTAGTAGTTTAGTGCAGTGATTCTAAATGTGTTAAAATATTCTTATTACATTGATTTTTGGCTATGGTATTTAATTCATTTTAAAATTTTATGTGGCATTAGTACTGGATGTGGTACTTTTATATTTATCAAAAGAAGGTCTAGGAGAAGCATTGCACTGTATGCCAGTTATTGGTAGGTATTGTTATTATTTCATCTTAAATCGTTTCACTGGTAAAAGATTATTCTGATAAAGATTTTGTGTATTTTCAAACTAGGTTGATAGTCTTATTTTTATGCTGCAGTTTGAGGTAGTTCTATATTTGTTCATTAAAATGATTAAAATGCTTTTTTTTTTTTTTTTCCTTTTTGTCTTTTTTCGTGACTGGCAACGGATCGCAACCCTCAGTGTCGCGCCCGTACCCGACTGGGACCGGCAACGGGATCGCAACCCTCGGTGTTGCTCCCGCACCTCGCTCAGCCAGTGAGTGGCCAGTCCTTAAAATGCTTTTTGGAATATGATTAAGCAAGCATAACAATTTTTTTTTTTGCTTGTCTTTGTATATCTAGCATGTAACAAAAGGCCTCATATAGGTTCCCATTACATATTGTTGAATGATGAAGTTAATGAAATTTTTTTATATATATATGTATTTTTACATTATTATCCTTTTTTGTGTTTGTTGATAGTTAACTAGTGTATAACAATAAATAAATAGAAGAATTTAGTAACTGATTCATTCAACAACTATTTACTGAACATCCATTGTTTCTTGGTTGGTGCTAGTGAGCTTACTGGAACACACAGGTAATTAAATAATTAGATGAATATGATTTTGACTTTTATTTTTTAAAATTTAGGTGAAACCTGGAGACGACTTAGAAAGTGATCGATACTTAATCACAGTTGAGGAAGTTAAAGTTTCTGGAAGTATAGCTATTAAACAGGATGTCATTAAAGAGGCACCAGAGTCAAATTCAAGGAAGTATGTATCCTCTGGCCAGTCTCTTGGATGTCAGCCCGCTGGTTTAAAAAGGAAGTTTTCTGTAAGTTTCTCTGTGAAAAATAATACATCAACATGTATTTATAAAATCGTTGTGAAAAGTAGTGAATTTTGAAGCTGTTGTACTCAGTTGTTAAAATTGTACTTGATAGTATACTTAGATAGAAAGGAAGTAAATCTACTTAGAAAAATCTTACTACAAATGAATGTTTACATTTTAATTTAGGAAACTTTAAATCTTAATTATTACTTTACCTTAGGCAAAGCATACACATTCCTTATTTTATTTTTTTTAGTCAGTTCATTTTACATTTTCTTTATAGGTAATGATACAACTAATAATTGTCTTAATATTTTTAGGGTTTTCAAGGACCACGTCAGGTCCCAAAGAAAATGGTTATTACAGAAAATGGTGAATCAGCTGCATCACTTGAGGATAAAAAACCTGGCCCTACTGTTTTTTCTTCATTCTACTGCACATCTCCTTTATTTTCTACCACTGGCAAGAAAGATATAAATAATATGCCAACGGACCCTGAGAACATTGTTGCCTATAAGAACAGAGAGAGAAATGGCATGCTTTTTCCTTCAGTTGTCTCTACTCCATCCTCCAAGATTAACCTGGATATGCTATGTGAAGAAAATTATTTTACCTCTCCTATCAGTTCAGGAAGTAGGCATTCAGACTCTTTACTGACCAATGAGCCCATAAAAAGATATAGTTTGGCATCTCGCTATTCAGGAGTTTCACAAAACATCAGAAGCAAAGCACAGATATTAGCTCTTCTGAAATCCAAATCAACTAGTACATGTAAGGAACTAAATTCTGAGATTACAGAACATTTTCTTCAGATACAACCACAAGAAATTTTAAAAATCCCCGCCAAACCAAAGTGCTTAATTCAACAGGAAGAGTCTGCTGAGGTGAAGAGCACAGAAAATTTACACTACCATCATCAATCAGAAAATACTATGAGAAATAAAAGCCGGTGGTCGATGTATTTATTCTCACAGAAATCACCTATACATTCTTCTGCTACAGATGGAAATGACATAGAAAGGAAACCCAAGGCCCAGGAAGATGATATAAATTTGAATTTGAAAGACCTTTTGGTACAAAAAAAGGTACAGTTCTTTGAAACATGTGCTGAAAAGGGGAAAAAGTATAATGAAGACAAGCCAGTAGATCTTAATGATCAATTCTGTAATCAGGAAGTAAAATTAGAAATGCCTTCATTCTGTGAAAGCAACAGCTTACTGATTACCTGTAGCAGTGCAGAGAATGATGGTTTATTATCAGAATTTGACATTCAAGAAAATAATAAAAAGCCCTTTAATCAAAATAACAAGGTGTGCCTAAAAGGATCAATTCTCATTAGAGAAAATGCTGAGGAGGTAAATAGATGTGAAACACCAGAAAAGGAGCATAAACAACTTGAGTCGTCTCTGCCAGAATCAGAACATCTACAAATTGAAACTTCTGTAACCAGCAATTCTAGGATCTCTGATGACATTTCAGACATGTTTTCTAAACATAATACTGATGCTGAAAGTCTTAATAGTATTCATGAATCTCAAAGCAAAGTAACACAACCATTGTTGGAGGTAAATTTTGATCTGGACAATTTTGAGACCAGTGACACGGAAGAGGAATCACAGGAAAGCAACAAAATTTACCAGGATTCAGAGAGTTGGGTAAATGAAGTTTTGGTTAATAACAGCAATGCATGTGTTCAAAAGAGATGTGAGAATATAAGCTGTCAAGTAATTGGCAATGAACATTTGCCACTCTTAACATCTATTGGTGGCAAACCTACAGAGACATTTCCTACTCAAGAGACTCTGCCACCATCACAGTTTTGTGATGAAACTTGTGTAGCTTTTGACATGGGACCTTGTGAAGATGGAAACACTGCAAAAGAAATAGAGGAGGAGTATAGTAACATATTAAGCCATTTTGACACATCTTTAGAGTGGACTTCTGATGTATTTGTAGGTAATAAAGAAGATGCTAATAAATCTATCCAAAAAGTTAGAATTAACTGTGATTTTGCTTCACTCCCTAATAAATCTAAAGATATAAATACGAATTTATGTATTCCTCCTTTTCCAAACATAGCCACTGATCAGACTCCTGAAAACAATAACCTGTTTTTAGAAGATGCTCAACCTCAGTCTTGTATTTTGGGAAGTGACTTAGACAAAAAAGATGAACAGGTTTTACCATCAACTTCTAGCAGTGACAACAGTATCCAACTATTAAATACCAGTCAGAATCACTCTGAATGTACTGCACTTGATAAACCAAATACCCAAGTTTCCAATTCTTTGTTTTACTCTCTGGGAATAAAGCATCCTATTTCCAAATACATAGAAACAGATATTCCTGAATCTGAAGATTTGGTAAAGATTAGAGGTTCATCCCAGGACCACGTTGAAGTCGAAACTGTCAGAAAAAGCAAACAATACTGGAACAGTCCTAGAAATTCTTCAGAACTTTCTGGATTAATAAATAACATTTCCCTTTTAAAGTCACTGTCTGAGCACAGTACAGCTTTAGACAGCTTGGAAGTACTGAAAAAGGAAAATACTGCCTTTAAACAACAAGGAACTCGGCAGACATATGAGCTGGATAGCAGTCCTGAAGGTCAGAATGGCATGTCTGTTTTAGATTGTTCTCTTTATAGCTCAAAGAATTAATTATGGTGCGGTACTGATAACACCAAGGTCAAGGATTCAGATCCCTATACCAGCCAGCTGCCCTCCCCCACCACCCCAAAAGAATTATGTAGTGTTTAGATAGGTAATACAGGTAATACATGTACTTAGTAAAACCAGTTCTAGTAGTGGATAGTATAGTGAAAAGTATGTCTCCTACCTACTGTGTGTAGTCCCTCAGTCCACTCGGAATTAGCCACAATCTGCTAGGATAGCCTTCCAGAAATATTCTATGCATATATAAGCATTTATCTATACGTATTAGTGGATATATATGTTATATATTTATATATGTACATATGTGTTTGTATCTGTGTCTGTATTATAATCCATTCTCATCATTATTCATTTTTGGGCATGTACTAGGATATACTTTTTTTAAAAAAAACCAACATGAATTCATATTCATGTACCTGTAATTCCAATCTTACACTACAGTATTCTCTTTCTTCCGTTCTATAATTTTGCTTCTTTACTCCCACAGTATGGAAGGCCTGGTCCCAACAGCATCAGTGTACTCTTCAGTTCTACAATTCACACCAAATAGTTCCCAAGTTGTCATGGCGGTATCACTGTTAGCAAAAAACCTTTACAAATTGGTGAAGTTCACAAATCCTTTGTAGTTTTTCTTTTTAAAATGTATTTTATTCAGAGTATAGAGTTGTAGTACTACTTCAAAAATTACTTGTGTTACTTTTTCTTTAGCATGATATGTTATCATTTGATATATAGTTAAGTTCTTTGCTTATATTCTATATGAGGGCTTTTTGTCCATCCTTGTTTATTTATTTTTATTCCTGACTATATAAAATGTTAATTGAGTTCAAAATTCAAAGCTATATAAAAACTGACCATTAGAACTCTTTCTTATACCTTCCATCCCTTTTCTCTCCACCTCCCGTAGGTAACCAATGTATCGTACTTGTTTCTTCTTGTAAAAATAAATAGCTCCATATATAAATTCTTATTTCTTATTATTCAACAAAGGATATCATACTCATATATTCTTTAGCACTTAGCTTTTTTTCACTTAATAATGTATCCTGGAAATCATATCAGTTCATAGGAGTCATCCTCACTTTATTGTTCATTGTACTATATAATACTCCACTGTGTGGATATACCATCATTTAACCATTCTCCTATGCATGGACATTTAGGTTGTTTCCAGTCTTTTACTATTACAGATAATGTGATGATAGAAAACTTTATATATCTATAATTATCTCCATATAAATAATGGATTTTTTTTTTCATATTGTTGTAGGTGTATCTTCAGGGCAAATTCCTAGAAGTACAACTGGTGGGTAAATGGCTAAATAGATGTGTAGTTTTATAAGATATGTGAAAGTTCTCTCCATAGGGATTATATCATTTCTTACTCCCACCAGTAATATATGAGTGGCTGTTTCTCCACAGCCTTGCCAACAGAGTGTGTTGCCAAGCTTTTGAATTTTTGCCAATTGTGGATGAGAAATGCCATTTCAGTGTATTTTAAATTTGTGTTTCTATTATAGGTGAAATTGAGCATTTTTTCCTATGTTTAAGTTTCATTTTTATATCATTTCTCATGAACTATCTGTTCTGCCTTTTTTGTACAGTTTTTTAATTGGTGTTGGTCTTTTTAATTCTCCTTGATTTATAAGAGTTTTTTATATGTTAGAGATATTAGCCCTTTATGATAAATGTTCCAAATGTTTTCTTTCAGTATGTCATTGGTCTTTTGATTTTGCTTATAGTATGTTGCCAACAGCATTGTCTTTTTAAGAATGTAATAGAAAATAGTGTATACATATGAATGTAAGTGAACAATGCACTTTATGATACTCTCAAATTGAACTCATTTGAATGTCTCAAGTGATTCCTGAGAAAAATATGAATAAATTATTTACCTACTAAAATGATTCATTGTAATGTAAAGTTTGATGATAATTGTTATAGTTTATTTTCTAAAAAATTAAAAATAAATAAAAAGCTTTAATGAAAAATATGGGTAGATATAATTATATAATAACATATTAGAATATACATTTCTAATATGAAGATTTAGGAATTATAGAATTTAGTTTTGGGAAACCTACTCTCATCAAGTTGGTAAAGAGGATTACAGTTGATTCTCATTATTTGCTGTAGTTGTGTTCTGTGAAATCACCACAAACACTGAATTAGTGAATAATGAACCATTGCTCCTTGTGGAAATACAGGATTTCCTATAAGCCTCTGGTCAGAACATTTTCAACTCATCAATACATAACCTTGTTTTATGTATGTTTCTGTTTAAAGACACCTTATTTAATGTGCATTATTGACTCATAAACATTGAACTCACAGCCAACAGTACTATAACTCATGCTTGAACAAAACTTGTGTAGAACACATATTTTCTCCATAAGGGATATCACAGCCTTCTTTATTCTAGGGGACATTTTAAATAGCTAAATCACCAACAAAAAGCACAGAAATATGAAAAATATAGCACTAAATGGATCACGACAAAGACACTTGTTTACAGTATAAGCTTAAACGAGAAGGTAGAGTGTTGCCTTGTAGGGAAACTGCATTTCAGACAATTCATTTTTGGCTGCTCTGTGCATGTCTATGAAAGACCATGAAAGCACTGTGAGTATTGATTTTGGGGTTACAAATAAATTTCAAGGAGTAGGCAGACTCCATGAGTAATGATCAACTGTTTTGTGATGTAAATGTATTTCTCTAAAAAAGATACATTTATAAGTTGGTTTTCCTGACACAATTTGAGAAAATTTAATCTATTGGAATATAGCAAATAATTTCATGGAGTTTAATACAAAATTAGAGAAGAATCAATTTACCACCATTTTGGGGGGGGTTGTGGGTGGCTGGTCTGTATGGGCATCCAAACCCTTGACCTTAGTGTTATCAATACTGAGCTCTAACCAACTGAACTAACTGGCCATCCCTACCACCAATTTAGAATTCATGAAGGTATTAAAAATATCTCCAATTTGTTCAAGATTTTGTGAGATGATTGAATATAGCTTAGAATTGTTCATTTAGAATTTTATTCTGGAATGAAGGCAGTAAAGGAAAAACACAAATTTTCCTCCAGTGCCTTTTTAAAACTCTTTTTAGAAATAACATCAAGTTCCAAAATCCATTTATTTTTATTTCATTTAACTTATTCTGAATTTTAACAGAACAACAATGAAACCAGAAATAGCAATTGCCTAAAAATGAAGATTACACCAAATATAGCTATGATATTTTTTACAGTAATAACATTACAATTATACTCTTCTGACTTTAGATGAAACAAATTTTTTGAATAGGCACTTATTCTTTTAAGAAAAAAAAGTCCTATTTTGAAATGGACACCCAAAAATGTGTTATGATGAGCCACCCTCCTTTTCATTCTGCAGACTTGCTAACTATTCTACCCATAGTCTTTGTATTTGTTCTCCTTTCATCTGAACATGTTTACCCCTGGCATAGTTGTTTATTTCTTCAGGTTCTAGCTTAAGTGTTACTTTCTAAGAGAGAACTTTCCTAACCACTCTATCTAAAATTACTCTATCATTTCTTTCCATATGATACCCTTTTGTATCATAGTCTGAATTTCTCTAGTTTAATTATTTGTCTTCTGTGTCCCTCCCTTTTCAAGGGATTTTGTCTTGTTCACTGCTGTTTCCCCAGTGCCTGGCATACTGTGCTTAGAAACTAATTGTTGAATGAATAAATTAATATAAATTTTTTCCAAGCCATAGTTAAATGGATTTAAGATAGATTCAGAAATGGCATTAAGTGCTTTTTCCTTTGCTATGGTTGGACACACAAGTATAATGGTGATCTTGGCTTTCTTGATCCTAGCCATAGGTCAATATATCATTTTTAGCATTTGTAGCCTAGGTTATTTGCTATTGGCTTAATATTTATTTTTCAAATAGTTTGGAAAAAAAGAAAAAGACAAGGAAACATTTCTACCGTTGACTTAGGAAGTAACCAAAAAGGCTTTCATTCTAAATATTTTAAAATTTTAATCATGAAAATGTTCAAACCTATACAGAATAGTACAGTGAAAATTTTGTCTCACCTTAAAATTTAAGTTATATTCCTTGTTCCTTTCAGTTTTAGAAATAAGTAAAGTTTTATTAGAGCACTACTATACTTACAATGAATAAGATCATTTGATTTTCTTCATCACAGCTAAGAATCCATTTACTACAGTAGTTTCACAAGCTATATCAAAGTTTCATCTGAACCAGGATTCTCAGCAGGTACATTTTTTTTTTCCTATCAGTATATTTTATTTTGATACGAATGTTCTGTAATTTGTAGTAGAATACAGAGGTCTCAAGCTATCTTGGGTTATGACCCCGCTTAGTATCTCAGTAATTTTTTTATTGCATCCTTTGGTGAAAAGAAATAACCAACAGTTCCATTTATTAAGTATTTAGTAGTATTAAACAACCTATAAGTATTTATATCTTAGTAACTTAGTAAGCATTTTATTTTTAAATAAACACAGTTACTAGTGTAATATGTGCCCCCTTAGGAACTGCATAGCTTCTCATACCTTGGAGTAGATTAGATAACATCACCCCATTTCTTGTTCCACATTGATTTTCTTATGATAATTGCTTTTTTTTTCTGTCTTAAGACTTTCAGAAGGAGATAATTGCTTTTATCATATCAGTTTCTGAAGAACTAGCTTCATAAAGATGTGATGTCATTGAAAAAAATGTAGTGGGATCTGATGTTGAAACTAAACTACCTTGAGTTAGCAATTTGTTTAGTGTCTGACAAATGTCGAGGGACACTGTTTCCTTAAATTTAAAACATCTTGAGGAGCCCCTATGAGTTCACTGTAGGACCCCATAGTACCTTGTTGCACAGTTTGGGAACCATGGTAGTAGTATCAAAAATAATAGTACTAATTAGGATGAATTGAAATTCTAGAATAAACAATCTAGATTTGTATTTCTCAAGGGGGATGCTGTTAGAATTTTTAGAAGGACAATTCTTTCATTATATGCTCTTTCTAGCAGATATGTTTGGAGGAAAAGAAAGTGAAATGTTTCATTTGCCCCTATTTTGTATCTTACTTTATTTTCCATGTTACCCAGTCCTTTTTATTTTTCCTCTTAAAAATCTTGATTTTTTTTTTTTTTTGTCTTTTTTTTTTTTTTC